AAAACAAGAAATTGTAAACCAAATAAAAAATATGTTTGTTTAGCTAACGAATGTGAGATAATTGTGTGAGATGTGATTTTTAGTCAGAGGGGGTAAAGGTCCACTTTAACTGGAACGGTCATGTGAGTGAGATTGCCCTTGCACATCTAGCAAATGATTGGTTTGCCAATCGTTTTATTTATTTCTTATTATAGGTATTTATATAGCGGCGACAATTTGCACAGCGATTTACATAGTTCCACATTCACGCCAGTCCCTCCCTCAAGGAGCTTACAGTCTAAGGTCCCTATCTCAGATGCATATATACAAGGGCCAATTTAGACAGGAGCCAATTCACCTTCCATGTCTTTGGATTGTGGGAGGAAACCAGAGTACCCGGAGGAAACCCATCCAACTCCTTGTATATAGCGGATGTGGCTGGGATTTGAACCAGGTACCCCCAGTGCTGCAGGGCAGAAGTGCTAACCATTACGCCACTGTGCTGCCCTTTGTTGCATAATAATTCTTCATAGTAATGTAGGGCGCAGCATGGTGCGTGTCCTTCACCCACATACTTTGTACTAGCGGATGTCCCTCTTTCTCGATCTCAGAAAGTTGGGAGGTATGTTTTAGGGTAAGCTATAAAATCTGTGAATAAAGAACAATCTAATAAAAAATATGTACACCTTTCCCCCCAGATATTTACAGCTGATGTTATAAGCAAAAGTCAGATTTCAATATCCTTAAAACATAATACCCGGTAATCCTGCCATGAAGACACTTCCCTGTTATAGGGTGACAACACTCTGTCCCTGTCTCTCAACTGTGCTCCTTCATCCTGTCACACAGGCTTTCCACTGAGACTACACAAGTTGTCACCATAAGTAAACCCACCCTGAGAAAGAGCATGCAGCATGTGCAATGTACGCAGAAAGAAGTGACTGCAAAGAAAACTGTAGGAGATCAGCAGCACTACAATGCTAGGATGAAAGAGAGTAAAAATAAGTTTTTTTTTATTTTTATAGCAGTTGTTTATGATGCACAGTGCTTTAGCAAACTAAACTTCATTCAGTTAGAGTTTCCATTAAAGAACTCCAGGATATTTTTTTATAAACCCTTGCGGTGGAGCTACCCCCCGCACTGCAAGGATTACCTTCTCATTTTGGACTAGGGAGGGAAATAGAAAGTTATACTCACCTGATCCTTAGAGCCGGCTTGCTCGTAGACCAGTCCCTTCAGCCTCACTTCCCCATGCACCAGCGGTCTAAGATCCCAAAGTCATCATGTTCTAAACACAAGTGTATAGGACATGAGGATGCCGAGGGACATTCCCTCGCTGCAGCAGAAGAGGAGAAAGGCTGGACGGAGCGTTGTCACAGCTAGCTAGCTCTCAGGGTTGGGCGAATATAAATTTTATTTTCCTCCGTAGACCAAAATGAGCACTTAACCCTTGCAGTGCGGGGGTAGTCCCACTGCAAGGGTTTATACAAATGTTGGCTGGATTTCTTTTGTGAACTAGGCCAAGACTACAAAAATAAAACTCAATAGCTTATTTTACCACCATTTGGTTTATACATAAAAAAATAACAAGAATGACTGGAGTTTTGATGAAACAAACAACATGATTTACTTTTTGCTCAAAGAAAAAAAAGAAAAGCTGAAGCGATGCCAAAAATGAATGAAATGTAAAAATACCGTATCACATAGACGCAGCTGATCTGCGACTGACACAGAAGCACGAGGAAGTTCTGTACGGTTAGCGATAGGTCTCCGAGCTATTTATAGCCAGGCATGGAAAATTACATTTTCACTTCTCAGAGGTGAAATGTGCTCCATACAAGATTTTCTTTCAGGATTTAAAAAAATATTTTTTCCACTCAAGCTGACATTTGCTTCTGTAGTCAAACGTGTCCTGTATGTCTTCACAAGGTTGGCACACACTGTTGCTGGCCCATTCCTCCATGCAGATCTCCTACAGGCCTCTCTCATCTTTTTAAGTTGGAGAACTTGCACAATTGGTGGCTGACTAAATACTTTTTTGCCCCACTGTGTGTCTATCTATCTATCTATCTATCTATATTGATGAATACAAGTAACAAGACAGGACTAAGGCTTTAAAATATCCAAATAATAATAGTGACCATCGCAATAATAGTCCTCTAGAACCTAAAAAATGTCACAACAAGCAAATAAAAAACAAAACCGAGGAATTTTAACTTCTGTACCATACATACTATATTGCCAAAAGTATTAGGACGCCGGCCTTTACACGCACATGAACTTTAATGGCATCCCAGTCTTAGTCCGTAGGGTTCAATATTGAGTTGGCCCAACCTTTGCAGCTAGAACAGCTTCAACTCTTCTGGGAAGGCTTCCACAAGGTTTATGAGTGTGTGTATGGGAATGTTTGACCATTCTTCCAGAAGCGAATTTGTGAGGTCAGGTACTGATGTTGGACGAGAAGGCCTGGCTCGCAGTCTCCACTCTAATTCATCCCAAAGGTGTTCTATGGGGTTGAGGTCAGCACTCTGTGCAGGCCAGACAAGTTCCTCCACCCCAAACTCACTCACCCATGCCTTTATGGGGAAGGGGCCATCCCCAAACTGTTCCCACAAAGTTGGGAGCATGAAATTGTCCAAAATGTCTTGGTATGCTGATGCCTTAAGAGTTCTCTTCACTGGGACTAGGGGCCAAGCCCAACCCCTGAAAAACAACCCAATCCATAATCCCCCCCTCCACCAAACTTTACACTTGGCACAATGCAGTCAGGCAAGTACCGTTCTCCTGGCAACCACCAGACACGTCCATCGGATTACCAGACAGAGAAGCGTGATTCGTCACTCCAGAGAACACGTCTCTACTTCCATGAAGCTCTCTACGCACTGTTGTTGTATCAATCTGAAGGTCACATGAAGTTTGGAGGTCTGTAGCTATCGACTCTGCAGACAGTGGGCAACTTCTGCGCACTGTGCACTTCAGCATGCACTGACCCCGCTCTGTCATTTTACGAGGACTACCACTTTGTGGCTGAGTTGCTGTTGTTCCCAGTTGCTTCCACTTTGTTATAATACCACTAACAGTTGAACATAGAATATTAAGTAGCAAGGAAATTTCACGGAACACCTGAATCCAATGATTTGGAGGGGTGTCCCAATACTTTTGACAATATAGTATATATCTCAGCTAAACCTGGCAAGACAGCAGAAGAGCATTCTAAGCAGTTGTTACATATGGGTTTGCTCCAAGTCTTTAGAACATTGGAAACCAACAACCACATGTTATATACTGTACAAGGCTCCTTATCTGTGCTTTAACGATGAACTGCAGGCCTGCAAAAAGCTGCAAGGGTTACGTGCTAATTTTGGTCTAGGGCAGGGAAAGTGAAATAAAATTCAAGGAGGTCTGTGTCTGTACCGCGGTCCGTCATTTAGGCTGCATGCACACCAGCAGATGCACTACAACGCACAGCTGTGTTCCCAGACACAGTTCTGATGCACTGATCCCACCACATCACACTGTTTTATTTCGTTTTTTTGTTATTACTCTCCCCTCATCATTTGCATACCTTACAAGCACACGTTCATTCAAATCAGATGGCGGGGGCGGCAGGTTTTAAATGTTTTTTATTTATTTTATACTTATCACCTTTTTATTTTTTCACTTAACTTTTGCCATCACAAAAGGACTAACAAGCCCCTATGTGATGGCATTTGAAGGTGGCAGGTTCTCTTCATGGAGACATCAGGGGTCTATTAGACTCCAGAGGTCTCCCCTGCCCTACAATACAGATGATCAAGCATCGGATTATCAGTGCTTGTACAGTTCTGAGCACAACGCTCCCTGCTTCATTCATCACAGCGCAGATTTGGGAAAAGATGCTCCACAGTCCGTTCCTGCTCTTCATCTTTGCCGTGGTATAAAGTTATACTCACCCAAACCTCAGAGCCAGCTGGCTGTGACATTGCTCCTGCTCCCTCCTGCATCTCTCCTTCTCTGCTGTAGCGTTAGAATGTACTTCGGCGTCCTCACATCCTTTACACTGTGTATAGAACATGATGACTCAGGGACCCTAGACTGCTGCAGAGGAAAAGGAGGAGGGAGGCTCCAGGGACCGGTCTAACAGCAAGCTGGCTCTGAGGATCAGGGGTCTTCTTTAACACAAGCTTCAGTATAGGTATATTGCTTCTGGAGTCTGGTCTGGGCAATGATTCAACCCACTAGTGCCCATCCCCCCCAAAAAAAATTTGAGAGCCGGCTTCCAATTGTGCCTATTCATTGTCACCCTGACGTTCGAGTTTCTGCTGGAGGCTACAAGTTCACACATCACAAAGGCATGAACTACTGTCACATCAGGAAACATGCCCTGAAAAACACAGCACATTCATGTACACAGGAAGTAACTGCAAAGAGGCTGCAGGAGACTGGCAACTCCGAGACGCAACAAAGTATAAGAAAAAGATGAATATAATATTTTTTTTACATGGCACCTGTTTATGACGCACTGTGCTTTTGCAAACAAAATGTTATTCAGATTTTACATCTGAATTTAAAAAGGCAAATTATTAATAGGGTTATTCACAAAAGGGTGAAGAGTTTGGAGAAGGCAGGAGAAGTGAACAATCTAGGACAACATAGCTGAACTGCAAAGTGAGCTGAATTGGAGAATTTTTCCAAATCAGTTATCTTATCTAGATTGTTCACTTCTCCTGCCTTCTCCAAACTCTTCACCCTTTAGTGAATAACCCTGTTAATCTCTCCCCCACTCTCATTTGCTGTACCAAAACCTTTGAGAGTGATTTTATATCCAATGGAGGGTTTCCTTGATTCCAATCAAAACTATTGAAACAGAAAAAAGGTCAAATATTGTACATTTTCCAAGTGAGGACTTTCTGAACACTCAAATCCATTTTTACCACGATCTGATTGATTCCTCTGTATTGGTCAAAGTATAGCATAGACCCAAAATATTTTCACAATACTAGACAGGGGCTGAAATGACTCAAAATCTATAGAACACTTACTTGCACTGTGCATGGAAGTACTTAATTAGGTTCTGCAGTAGATCCACTCCTTTCTTTATCTTGATTTCATTCACTTTCAGTAGATACTAGAAAACAAATACACTACATGTTACTGTTTGCCTCCAATTTGGAAATGGACTACAAAAGCCCACTGAGATATGAGAAATAAATACACATCAGAATGTTCATTGTTTCTATTAAGCACCAGGGTTTCAGCTTGGTTACTTGTCCCCTTCCTATGCAAACAAAAACTCCTACCATACCCATCTGATCCTTCATTTATACTAGAGAAAGGAAACGTCCAATGCTAGCTTGTTCAACAGACAGAATATTCCAGACAATCTGTGATCAGCATGTAAAATTCATGATATTTATGAGTCATCATTTCTTTTCAGCGAGTTGTGGTTCTTCAGGAGAAGAATACATTTCAGTGCAGACAGAAGACAGCTAGCTGCTAGTGGAACCCACGCTCTTACTGAAAATCTCCAATGGGACTGATGGAAATGCAAAGTCCAGTCAACTGCAATGAGGCAGGTAAAAGGAAACAAACTTTATTTTAAAGCGACACTAAACATTGGGAGTTAAATCCTAAAAACGCTTTCAATTACCTTGACTATTAAGAAAAAATGTCTCTTATTTGTGTATCACTCGAGGTCTCCTCATTGGCTTGTATTAGGGTGCTAGGACCATGAGCGACACAAAAGATGTTGCAATGCTCAGCCAGAGCTGATGGTGCTTAATAAAGCAATGCTGAACTGTACTCTATCAATCCTGGATTATGAAAGCATGCTATTGTCAGTGAAAACAATAGAAAGGAGGTTGGTGTGACTGATCTTGGACATCCAATCCTACTAAAAATATCCATAATACACTGTCTGGCCAAAAAAGTCACACCCTAATATTTAATTTGACCGCCTTTATTGATTATGGCATGCATTCACTATGGCATCGTTTCAATAAGCTTATGCAATGTTACAACATTTATTTCTATCTAGAGTTGCATTCATTTTTTACTAAGATCTTGTAGTGATGGGGGAGTCGGAACCACTGAGCAATGTCTTCTTCAGCACATCCCAAAGCTTCTCAATGGGGTTAAGGTCTGAACTCTGTGGTGGCCAATCCATGCGTGAAAATGATGTCTCATGCTACCTGAACCACTCTTTCCACATTTTGGGTGCAATGAATCCTGGAACTGTAATCTTTGGAATATGCTCATGTCGTCAAGGAAGACTAAAATCAATTGATAGAAAAACCTGGTAATTTAGTATATTCAGGTAGGCAGCTGGCCTTTTTTGGGGACATAAAAGAGTATTGTTGCTGAACCAAGAACTATCCAAATGAAGCAACCCCAGATCATAACACTGCCTGAAATACAGGTACTGACTTTGTTTTGGCTGGGCAGTGTAGGTTTGGCCTTAACATCCAATCTACAGTTATGTATGCATGAGCTTTGCCCTCAAGTTCTTACTGGTTACAAACCAGACTTTGGACACGCCTTGCCTGGCTTATACCTCCACCTCGCACATGTAGACTACAGGTCTGGCCCAGAAGAGAGGAGGAACATTCATGGCTGATTTTAAATGGCTAAAATTAATAATACCAACACAATATTTCTACCCACTGATAAGACACCATAGTTCCTCTTTAAACCTAATTTTTCCTAGGTTATTTCCCTTGTGAGTTGATTTGTTAGCCACAATTACTGCATCCTATGATTGTCTACGACTTGACTCTATTATAGAATAGAATCCTCCAGCCATGCTAACATGTTCCTCCCTCATATGAAATATCATATGAGGGAAATTTGCAGCTCTGTGGTCTTTTGATATACACATCTGAAAGAACAGCCGCATAGCTTTATCTGGCTGGTTGCCAGGATGTGGCTGATGCAGAATTTTATTCTTAATTGACTTCTCTATAAATAGTTCAATATGTTAACTTCTATAATCAACTAGCCATAAAAGTGCAACAGCATCACCACAAATAAGCCTCAGTTTTAAAGCAAAACTATGAAGATTTGTGTTCAATTTTCATTATTCCCCGTTTGTATGTTTTTTTGACAAATGTTATATATCCGCTTTTTACTATATGCATATAAATATTGTTTTACAACTAAATATTTAAAGTGACATTAAACCCTCAGATTTTTTAACCTAAACCAATACTGTAATGTGTGCCTAACTGTTATGCATGGTAGTTTCCCTTCTCTTTGCTGCTCTTCTTTTTAAATCCTCATGTCTTCTCATGCTGGGTAGAACTTCCCATTGCAGCAGGGTGCCTCTTCCTGTAGTGCTGGCTCAGGTTGTGAACCTGCACACAGACACCATGTATCCATTCCAGAGACAAGGCAATCTGCTGCAAAACAGAAGTTCTGCCCAGCATGAGAAGAGATATGGATTTAAAAGGAAGAGCAGCAAAGAGAAGGGAAACAACCATGGATTAAAGTAAGGCACACATTACAGTATTGTTTTATGTTAAACAATCTGAGGGTTTAATGTCACTTTAATTAATGTTAAAGGATCTCTAGACCGCTATTGGTTAAAGAGACAGCAGAGCAGTAGAAACCTGGCTTTATCTGGAAGGAGCTTCCAAGTGAGCTCATGATAGGACCCTAGTCAATTATTTTGTGTCTAACCTGCACCTTGACCAAGGAAACATTCACACGAGCAAGGAGGGTAGTCTCATGCTTCCTGAACTACTCTTTCACAATCTGAGCCCGGTGAAGCCTGGCATTGTCATCTTGGAATATGCCCATGCCATCGGGAAAGAAAAAAATCAATTGATGGAAAAACCCGATCATTCAGTATATTCAGGTAGGCAGCGGACCTCATTTTTTGGGGACATAATGTTGCTGAACCCCTAGACTTATTATCCAATGTCAGGCTCTCATCTATTTGCTAAGCCAAATCCAAGAGGTGATTGTTTGTTTGTTTTTTTTGCCAAGCAGTTTATAATATAGGTAAATTTACTAACTGGAGCAGACAGAAGATGGTGCAACGGTGCATTGTAACAAATCGGCGTCTATCTTCAGTTAAGCTTTGAAAATAAAAGCTAGAAGCTGATTGGTTGTCATGCACAGCTGCTCCAGGTTCTGTCTGCCCCAATCCTAAAAAAAATCCCCACAATATACTGTCAGTAAGGACATATTTAAATGTATTATTGGAGTGTTCATCTTCGAGTAATACTAATATGACCAATATTACATTGCTATATGCTGGCTTTTTATCATAGGGATTTGCAGGTTAGCCACAAGAGGGAGTTCTCAATAACTCAGTGCAATCACTTAATCCTGATTGACAACTGTTGAGATAAGCGATCAGCTAAATAGGAAGTACATTGATTTCATTGAGTGAGCAGACACCTAAAACTTGCAATGTGAGTAGAAGTAAAAAAGCTCTACATGGAATAAGGAATCAGGAATAAGTAAATATTCCTGCCCTCATGCACATTTATAATTACAAATTATACAAACAATATTTAGAGTACCTACATATAGTAAATACTGTATATATTTAAACAAGATTTTTTTTAAACTTATCTTTTTAGGGAATTTTAAGTATATAAATATAAATATGGTTGGCCCATTTACACATAATGCCTTCATCGAAAAAACATGTCCATCATTGCAGATTACACAATAAAACACACTTCACAAATTACAATACGATATACACTATAACTGTGAACATCAGTCCCAGACAAGGAATCATTCCCCGATTCGTGACATTTATTGGCTGGGTGATAAATGCAGACACTTATTTTTGCCCGTTGTCAGCATTTTTTTAGATTTGTCGGTTAAAGTATCAATTTGGCAGGCAGTGATCTGAATGAAGAGTGAGAGCAGGTAACTCAGGCCGGGTCTACAATCTACTTTACAAGAGATGAGCCTGCCAGCTTTCCAGAATGAACCATCATTGGAGATGACATGTCTGCATTAGCTAAAGTGCACTGCAGGAGTATTGAGCGCGATGGAAAGTTCATCTTCCCTCGAACTGCTGGGTAGTTTATAGCACATTTATCAGCTAAGCCGCCAACATGCATCTATTATTGTGACAAAACAAAAATACATAAGAGCATGGGCAGAAGAAAAATTAGATTGAATAAGTTAAATTATGAACTTAAATAATAAATGTCCCTTCATGTTTGTACCTATCCGCACATCTGAAAAATGGCATTGTGATTGCTTGGCTTTAAAGTAGATGAGTCCCATTGTAAGCAGCCTGGCAAGAAAATCTATGGAGCAAAGGAAACAGAAAATGGGTAGGCTGTGCATAGGTATAATAATTAAGAAGGTAAGGAAGAGACATGGAAGGAAGTTGTGTGCCGTCATGGAGACTTGTGAAATAGCATTACCAATGAGTGTGCTAAGAGGAACTGGTTGACCAAATAAATTGTCATTTTTAACCACCTTGCCACAGTTGATCTGACCTATACTGCCTATAAAGGGGGTGGACCCTCAATACTTAATGAGCGCTCCACTCGGAACCCTTCTCAGTCAATTTTGTAAATTACATTTATTCACTTTACAAAAAAGAACCGGGCGCCTTTTCTGGTGCAGGTAAAACCTTTTTATTCAATAAAAGAGTAACAAAAATATACTCACAAATAAGGCAGTATGTAAAAGCATCAAAATGGACTGACCGTCCTTGATTGAATAGCTGCTGTGGATGTGACAGGTGGAGAGATCAAGAAGACTCTGTTCTCCTCAGAGTTCCACTGCTAATGCTTCGCGCACTTTTGGGAAGACAACCCTTTCCTCACCCCCTAAGCCCTGAGGATGTCAGGGGGGTACGGCTGGGCCGTGAGTAAAACCCCTTGGCAGGGGCGGCAAGCCAAAGTCCGAGGTCGTGGTACACAGGGAAAATCCAAGAAGAATAGTCAGGTCCAATCCGGGTCAAGGCAGGCAGCTAGTTTCAGTAACGGAAGGGTAAGCCAAAGGGTCGGTAATCAAGAGTCCAAGCAGAGGTTCAGGAATAAAGACAGGTTCAAGGCACAGGGAGCTGGGAGATCACACCATAGGGATAGAATAACTCGGCAATGAGCCAGGGCTCTGACTGGGCTTTTATACTCAGTGGAGGATTGAGACCACTCCCCGGCTACCGAGGCAACCAGGTAGCCTCTCCATCAGGAGCCAATGGCGAGAGAGGGTGTGTGCTGGGAACCTCCCCCAGCAAGGATCACACCTGACACCAGTAACAGGTGCACTACGCGCACGTCCCCATGCGCGCGGACTGTCCACCGCGCACTTGTCGCGCATGCGTACCCGCAATCCTGGTACCAGGGGTCCTGCCAGGAAGGGGAACCCGTGCCCCCCACCGCACATGCCCACCCCGAGGAGAGGTAAGCCCCCTAGTACCCTGACAGAGGAAGACTTCTGGACTCCCTGACTGGAATGGGGCAGCCTCTACTAGATGCGCAGTGAAGGGTTCTGGCTTATGGATGGTCTTCGTGGCGCTGGCCAGTGTATTGCATTTTTTAAATGTTTTATTAAACCTAGCAGTGGGGATATCCCGTGACTGCAAGGGTTAAGTACTCGTTTTGGTCTAGGGAGGAAAATAAAGTTATACTCCCCCCGATTCCCCTGAGCCAGCCGTCTGTGACATCGCTCCCTCCTGCCCGTCTCCTCTTGTACTGCAGCGGACTCAAGGATCTGCTGCACTGCTGCAGCAAAGAGGAAGTAATGCTGAAGGTACCGGTCTAAGAGCAAGCCATCTCCAAGGATAAGGTGAAAATTACTTATTTATTTTCCTCCCTAGACCAAACAATTCCAATACATTCCTGACTAGGCATAGTAGATTCTCCAATACCTTGTATAAGCATAAGAAAGCAATACAGGTAATGAATATCAATATTTAAACAGTTGTTTTTTGTTTTTTTTGCCGTCCTGGCTTAGAATAAAATCCTAACTAAGCAGGTGTTGGAAAAAGTAAAAAAAGGGAATGCTAGCTTTTAATATCACTGCACTGAATTGGGCGGTATATACGGTATTTTTGTTTAATGTTCCTTTTGCTTTGTTTTCTGCTCACCAATTTAAATGTATGCAGTATATGTGACAAATTTTTCAGCAGCAGTTTTTTGTTTTACTGTCACCATGAATATACATCACTGTTTGTATATGCCTGAGCAACGTTACCGAGGGCAAAGTGATCTTTACATTAGAAATTAACCATAAGTGAATGCATTTTCTTGCCAGCTGACACAATAATTTCCATCATACTACTTTTAGCAAAGGTCATTGTGCGTCTCTTTTCCAATACGTAGGTTGTTTATCGTAAAACCTGCCCCTTTCAAGTCAGACTATTGGATAGTTCTGATGATAGTGCTGGGAATCCTAGGTCTATGCAGGAAACTACCTGAACAGGGTTTCTATATAATGTTTTAGATGGTCCATATTTTGAGAAAAGCAGCAGCTGAAATTGTTGATGTATTTACACAGCAAACTCCTGGCTGTAAAAATGTACATCAAATCCAGGGAGGGGATTAGCAGGAGGAAAGGGCATACTACACACGTCCCGATTACTTTGATGAAGGTTTTTAAGGCTGTGTGTAGCATGTCCAATGTCACAATGTCCGTTTATTACAATTTATTAGATAACTACATTATTTGGTGTTTTTATATACACCTGGAGTTTAGCTTTAGGGTCCAGGGTACAAACTGCCTCACAACCCACTGTACCCGTAAAACTGAATGAAATGGAACTTCTGAAGTTCTAAACCAGGGGTAGCCAAATTCCGGCCCTCCAGCTGTGGTGGAACTACAAATCCCATGAGGCATTGCAAGATTCTCACAGACATGACTCCGGAGAGAGATGCATTGTGGGATTTGTAGTTTCACCACAGCTGGAGGGCCGGAGTTTGGCTACCCCTGGTCTAAACATTTTCAGGATCACCGCAGCAGCACTGGCCAGGCACCGCACACCAGTTGCACATTAATGGCCCATTCACACCAGTTGCGATTTACCGCAGTGGCTGGTGTGAATGAGCCATTAAATCTATATTTCACAGCTGATCCATCTACTAATTGTGTGGTTACGGAAACCATTAGGCTAAAGGTGCCCACACAGCTTGCGATTATCGTACAATAATCGCGGGAAATCCTGTGATCGTACGATAATCGCAAGGTTATGGAAGGCGTGCAACCGTTTTTACTGTACGGTCGCACGTCTTTTGTCCAACCAGCATGCTAGAAAACCCGCAGAGAATCGCACGATTCTCGGCGGGTTTCTAGCCTGCTCATTCGACAACTGCGGAACGGGCGGTGTGTGCACGCGCACACTGCCCGTTCAGCATTGCGGTCAGCATTGCTGTGCAACTCTAACAACTAATAGTTCTCCCAGAGTTCATGGCACCATAGTGACTGGCTCATGCATTTAGAACAAGGTGATTTAACAAAACCTCATGTACTTGGACAATCAATATCTGCCTTGACACATCTCAAGGTAATTGGACTGAGGTGACGAAAGATAGTTATGGCTAGAAATCCTCAGGTATGTTCACGACATTCATTAGAGCTGAGGAAGCCACTTGAACGAGGGGCAAAAAGTCTTCAACAGAACAAGTCCAGTTGTTACTACTACCAACTAGACACAACATTATAAGCCTAATAGAACATAGTCTCATAACTACTTACTTGCTTAGCTATAGACGTTTATAGAGACTACTCAATGTTTCTCCCATATACCCCCCAAATAAATACACAGTTGGTATACCTCACACATCTGTAGCTGGAAGAACCTTCTTTCTTTCTCCATCTCCTCAGCGATTTCTGCTCCACTGATCTCTGTGCGAATCATCCCATGCAGCTTGGCGTGTTCTTTCTTCTCCTTCTCTATTTTAGTCCTAATTGTAAATAACAAAAATAAAATAAGGGATCTGACAAATTCCAAGTATAAATCACTGCATGGAGAAGCTGCCATTTTGTATGGCTGAATAAACATAAAACAGGGTGCTGTGGCATATTTGAGTCTCCAGACCCATAAGAAGTTACGTCTGATCAATCTTTTAAGAGCATAAGAGATCCGTAATCCATGACTTGCTTTTCATTTTAAGATTATAGGATTACTCAACAAGGCACTTTGTCCCTCATTCACGCTATGATGATCTAGCCAAACTTAATACATAGCTCAAAGTGGATTTAGGATGGCTCATTCCACCCCCGACAAATTCTCCTCATCTGACATTTCTTACAATAAGTAGTGAAACCTTTCCTGAGAGCAACCCCTTAATAGGGTATGAAACTGCCTTTAAAAAAAAGACATCTATACACTGGGGAGCCCTCTGACTTAGGCTGCGCTGTACACAATGGCCTCAACCTATGCTGCAACCAGAAGCTATACCTCATCCCTTGCCATTTATTAATCCAATGGTACAGCCACTGTAGCCAATAAAGTGCCTGCCATTAGATAATTGAGCAGAAGTGTTAAAAGACCCAATTTAGATATAAACAGAAAGTAGCTATGGTTTCACATTCAAAAGCTACAAAAAGGGGGCGAAGCCACGACCTGGAAGGTGCATATCTCTGAAATTTTTCTATTATTGGAAGGGGAGAATTAAATAAAGGGTAAATCGGGCTATATACAGTAGCTATGCTGCAACCAGAAGCTATACCTCATGCCTTGCCATTTAAAAACCCAATGGCAAAGCCATCGCAGTAGAGCTGCAGCTAACGATTATTTTCAAAATCGATTAGTTAGCCGATTATTAAGTTCGATTAATCGGTTAATCGGATAAACAATAAAATACATTTTAAAAAATGGCTCCAGTGATAGGACTACTAGTTTGTATTGAGGTTGTAGTCCATCACAGGAGCAAGCTTGGAGCGGTGGAAGTAAAAAAGAAAAAAAAGATAGTGTGGTGTGCAATATAGTGAAATGGAAAGTGTAAAATTATACAGCAATGAATGCAGAATGGCACCGGCTATAGAGGACTACAAAACCCAGCAAAAGCACATTATACAGCGCAATGCAGAACACCGCCAGCTATAGAGGAATACAACAAATCCCAGCAATAGTACATAATAGCTGGCGGCATTCTGCATTGCGCTGTATAATGTACTATTGCTGGGTTTTGTAGTCCTCTATAGCTGGTGGTATTTAGCATTGTACCACTTTATAATGTACTATTGCTGGGATTTGTTGTACTCCTCTATAGCTGGTGGTATTCTGCATTGCGCTGTATAATGTATTATTGCTGGGACTTGTAGTCCTCTATACAGCGCAATGCAGAATATCACCAGCTATAGAGGAGTACAACAAATCCCAGCAATACATTATACATACAGTGTATAATGTATTGCTGGGATTTGTATTCCTATGTATAATATACAGCACAATGTACCATCAGCTATAGAGGAATACAAATCCCAGCAATACATTATAGAGCACCATGTGTGGGAAAGTGCAGGCTTACCTGAGCAGTCTTCCAGCAACTTGCTTCTGAGATTGGACCTGTCTATCAGCTGCTGTCATCCCCCCACCCCTGCTCCTCCTTACTACATCTCCCCGCGTGCCTTGCCGATCGTGGATGGGCAGGAAATGTGAGGCGGGGAGGAGGTGCGGCGTGTGGAGCGTGGATGCGAGCGGGTCTGGCAGCGGCGAGCGTGAGGTGGGGAGGAGGTGCGGCGCACAGCGTGTGGAGCTGTGAACAGGGCCAACTGATCGGAAGCCGATTAATCGATTATTGAAAAAGTTGACAACTTTTTCAATAATCGATTATAATCGATTATGTCGATTAGTTGTTGCAGCCCTACATCGCAGTCAATAAAGGGCCTGCTATTGGAATACTGAATGGAGGGGTATGTGTAATACATCTGTATTAGAGCAGAAGTGTTAAAGACCCAATTTAAATATGAACAGAACTTAACTATTCTTTCACATTCAAAAGCTGCAAAAAGGGGGTGAAACCACTACCCACAAGGTGCATACCTCCGATATTCCTAAATATTAGTGGATGAGATAGCAGGTGATCAAGAAGGTGAGAATGAAATAAAAGGGTAAAGCTGGCTATAGACTTGTTGAATTTCAAATGAAAAAAAAAAATTCTGTGACGTTCACTCAATTTTCTAACAGTTAATGGGGTCAAATTGATGACTGCTATTGACTACACAGTGACAACAAAACATCAAAAGGGACAGGGTGGAAAATGTATCTCGAATGAACGAAATTCTAAACAGTGAATGCGGTTTTCGTTCTAAAAACTCATTCATTTCAATATCAAATATTAAGATCAAAATACATTTTCAAATGATATTCGTCAAGTCTCTGATAGCATTATGGAATGTTTTGACAAGAGGTTTCATATAAATGTCCTTATGAAAAGTTTGGGTGGACTGGCCCTTTGAATTTATTTTAGCCACCAGAATGATCAAATCCCCCCTCCCCCCCCCAAAAAAAAAAAAAAAAAAAAAACAAAAAAAAAAAAAAAATACAATACAAATACAAATATACAAACAACCCATAATATAAACTTTAGAGCATAAAAAGACTTCAAATATAGATTTTTTTTCCCCAGCACAAATCAGAAAAAGAAAGGTGACTCTCGATTGGCTTCTGGAAGCTAGAGCCCTATTTTTATCTACTTCAATTCAGCTGCATGATTGCACTGACAGCCTAAATAAAAGACTGAAGGGAATATGTACACTGTGCTCAGGGCCGGCCTTAGGCCTTTAGGCGCCCTGTGCGAGAAAGCTTTACAGCACCCCTCAGTGACCACACCCTTTAGTGGCCACACCCCCCAGTAACCACACCCATTTATTACCCATATTTTTGGTAAAATATAAAAAGCAGGGTCACGTCGGGTAAATAGACACCAAACATGTCATGCTTTAAAATTGCGCGCACCCGCGAAATCGCAAAAAATTACCATGCCCAAAATTGACCATAGGTGACGCTTTAAAAGCTTTTACCGCTCATCAGTTTAGTGTTATCAGTGATTGATAGCCCTACAATTATTGCTCTCATTCCGACGTTCGCGGCGATATGTAACATGTGCGGCGTAATGGGCGAAATCGTCGTTTTCACGCGTATGCGCACCCGACGCCTGTTTGCATGCGTGTATGTATGGGGGGACTTTAAAAAAAATGTAATTCTTTTTTATTTGTAACTTTACATTTTTTGGGGGGGAAAATTTATTGCTATCACATAGGGGGGTTAGAAAACCTGTTTTTTGTTACAAGCAGCTAGAGAGGTTAATGAGGACTTGTTCTGTGCACTTTATTTTAAAAATAAAACCAAACAAAAACAAACAAACCACTGCACAGACCTACTTAAAAAAACAGCTTTTGCTGCAATGCTAATCCTATCTCCAGCACTGTCCCTACAGACTCGGAGCTCTGAGGTTCAGCTCTGGTCTTCTGTGTTCATTGAGGCCCAGCATCATTCAATCCACTTCCTGTGAGCTCAGGGCATCAAGAACATGCCACCTTGGGGGGGTCATCAAGTTGCTCGCGGTATATCATTATGTGGCATTGTTCTGTGCAGCATTAGGGATTTGCTGGAGCTGCCAACTGTTGAGAACATGTCACGTGACGGACTGACTATGCCTGTCAAAGAGCTATGTATACAGAAACTAGAATGGTATTAGAAGTGGGTTTAGAAGTGGGTTTAATGCCTTTAAAACCCAAGTCACAATATCACTATTGGTGACAGTGTATTAGTCTGTAACAACCAACACTGTCCCATCAGATGATCAATGATCATCGGTTGGAAAGCAACTACTTTTCCTCTTCCTCCTCCTAACCTTTCTCTTGACCATTACTATTGGTAGAGACCTGGTTACAGTATAATTAAAAAGTCTACATTCAAAAAACAGGAAGTGCCTTCATGGCTGAATAACCAGACTTAGTTTTAATGAGAGCAACAGAAAAACGAAATGCAATGTCAGTACAGAAAATGCAACCATGCTAACAACCTCACAATCCTTGGTAATGAGCTCAGTTAGTTTTTGACTTACACTTTTGTTTCATAGTCCTTCCATGCTTTATCAAAAGGCTTCTTCAGGTCCTGCAGGACAACAGGAAAAAAAAAACAACAATCATTAGAAATGTTTTCGCACTTGGTGGGCACAGACTACCTGCTAAGCAACTTTAATTTTCATCCAGGCCTTCATTATTGGTACCCGGTTACAACTAGCTAAATCCCTATAGCAGATAGTGACGTGCATGGGGCTTGGTGCAAATCAAGTTGGCATAAGCCTGTGCAACACGGCGACACACCCTCTCTCAGCCCAATCAGTTGTGGCCGGCGCATTCCCTGCCACGCAGCTTCATGCAACAAAGGGGTGGCGAATTCCCTGCGCCTACTGATTGAGCCGGGAGAGGGATGTGCCAATTACAGTTTTGGCATGGGCTTGGGCAAACTGGGTTTGCACCAAGCCCGCACACATCACTACAGATGAATGGCAGGGATCCCGAGTGTGTAAAAATGCAGACCTAGTGTATCTGGGCCCATGACAACCTTGTGCACACACAATGCAACAGGAGAAGAACATACCCAAAAGCATGTGCAAAGTCAAAATCTTCTGTAGTCTCTGTGAGGGAAATGCTAGGTCCTTAGCATCATTGAAACACACAGAGCTCGGTAGCCTTACTGAATTTAGCAAAGCTGCAACGTGAATATGTGATAAAACATACACCTACCCCTTTTACACCTTTGAGATCTCCTTTCAATAAACTATCCAGTGGGAATGTTATAATGTTATTCATATTCTGGACCTGCAAGAGAGAAAAAAAAAAGGAAAATGAGGAAATTAGAAAAAATGAATAGCAGATATAACCAGCACAGCAGAGAGAACCTACGTGAATCTGTTAGGACATAAAGACAACCATTTCCAAAGCAGACGTATCAGTAACTTTACAAGTCTGCAGCAATGCAACCTGGAAATGTCCCCATTAGAGATGAGCATGGGCTTGGTGTGAACCCAATTTTCCTGAGAACGCCCAAGCCCGCTCCCCAATTTCAGCCCAATCAGTGGCAGCAGATGCATTCCCCACCCCTCCTTGATGTATGGCTGCAGGTTGGGGAATGCATCTCTCTGCATTGGATTGGGTGAGTAGAGGGAAGGGCAGTCACAGTTTTGAGCAAACTCAGGCAGAACTGGGTTCTGGCTCAGGGTCATCACTAGTCTAATTGTACAGCAGCTGTAAAATTTTTCATAATCAGCACATTCATCAATAAAAAGTGTTTGAGCCCCATGCAAGTCCCGTGTCCTGGTTTAAAGAAGAGCATTCAGGGAGAATGTCAACATCAGCCTGCTGCAGGTGGAAGAGAAACATTTCCGCAGTCTCTCTCTCACACAGCCATCACTTATTGGGACTGTTGTAATTTTGTTGGTCTCTAGCAGCTCACAAAATCAGACATCAGAGGCTGATCTGTGAGACAGATGTACACATACTGCAAAGAACATAAAGACTACCAAGCAGGTGTCAGTATTTACATGATGGTTTATTTCGGGGGAACAATTTAACTCCAGAAAATAGATGTAGAATTGTATTTAAACCCCAACAATGAACTTCTATAATTTGCTACCTTTCAATCTTTTATACATATCATTGAAAGTATTATCTGTTAGACATATATAAGCAAACAAAAAAGACCTGATGAGTAAGTCAGTTATTTACCCGTGTCTTGTGCATACCACCTGTGTTATCTCAATGAAAGTAATTAGCCCCCCAGGTCCTTCTTTTGGGGCTACAGAATGTGTAGTGTTTATGTTGGAGATGGAAGATGGGTCCAAGCAGTTTGGCAAGATAAACTGGGAAGGGCTGACACCAATCAGCCCACCTAAATGCTCCGTGTTGCGTGCCATCCCAAAATTTAAGTTAAGTTAAAGATCTATCATGCAAAAGAAGAAGCCATATCTGAACATGATCCAGAAATGCCGCCGTCTTCAGGGGCTGTTGCAAAGTGGAAAACTGTTCTGTGGTCAGACAAATCAAAATTTGACAATCTATTTGGCAACCATGGGCGCTGCGTCCTCCAGACAAAAGAGGAGATGGACTTTCCGGTTTGTTAACAGCACTCAGTTCAAAAGCCTGCATGTCTGACGATATGGGGGTGCATTAGTGTGTATGCAATGGGCAGCTTACACATCTGGAAAGGCACTATCAATGCTGAAAGATATATCCAGGTTTTAGAGCAGCATATACTCCCACACAGACAAGGTCTTTTATATTTCAGCAGGGCAATACTAAACCGCATACTGATTCTATGACAACGGCATGGCTTCGTAGTAGAAGAGTCCAGGTGCTTAACTTGCTTGCCTGTAGTCCAGACCTTTCACCAATTGGAAATATTTGGCGGATATTGGAACGAAAAATTTTGCATTTAGAATCCAATATCAGGCAAGAATTCCAAGAGACAACATTCCTCTCCCAAAACTCCACTCAACTGGTCTCCTCAATTCCCAGACATTTACAGAGTGTTAATAGAAGAGGGGATGCTACACCATAGTAAACATTGCCCTGTCCCAACTTTTTTGAGACATGTTGCTGCCATCAATTTCAAAATGATCTTATTTTTTGCTTAAAATGGTAAATTTTCTCAGTTTAAACATTTGATATGTTTTCTATTTCCTATTGTGAATAAAATATGGGCTTATGAGATTTGCAAATCATTGCATTCTGTTTTTATGTAGATTTTACACAGCGTCTCAACTTTTTTGGAACTGATTTTGTACACTTTAACCGTGGATAATGCCAGAATAAAGGTGGTACCATCCTTCTGGGCAGAAGACATAGTCCGGGGGAAGTACTGTGATCTTTAGGAGACAAAGTACATACCCAGAAGGGCTACACTTTCAAATTACCTAGCGTGCATATATGGAACATGAAAAAATATATGTAACCCTAGATCCAGTTAAAAGAAGACTATTCATTCAGTTTTGAGCAAAGGAGGATGGAGAATGTGTATAGGTTCCTTACCTTTGCAGCAGTATTCCTAACTTGCAAGGGTAATGCTATTTTATATCTAAGTGGGGTGATTTACTAAAGGAATAAAGCACGCTCATTGTGTAAACATGCACCTTCTGAAATGAACCTTCACTTTCTTAAATGAACAGCCTTTATTCAACTAAATCAACCCCCCATAACTGAACAGAGTTTAGTTTACTTTATTTCTTTTATCACTGCAGGCTCCTTACCTGGTTGCAAGTAATACAACATAATAGACCTCCTACATATCAGAGAGCAAAAAAAGTAGTAAGGATTATGGGAACTGCAGCTCAAAGTCCCTGTTGATATTGAAGAGATAACATTGTACAGGTAGAGATCTGAATGCTAGGTGAAAGAGACAACTAGCCACCAATCTAAGTTAAAGTGCCCATACGCCTTACGAATATCGGCCGATTTTCGTATGCGATTGCGTTTTCGTCCGATATTCCTAAGGTTGATGGGCAGTGTACAACCTCAAATACTGTACAATCGATCGACTTTTGACTAACCAGCAGGTTAGAAAACTTCGGTCGATCGTACGATTTTCGCATGGTTGGTGGAGTTTCCGTACGATTTAAGTAAGACAAAAATACGTGCGGTCAATTAGCGCAATTCATCCAGGTCCTTTCTTTTCATTACCGCTGATCCAACCTTGCGATAATCGGGGCAGGATCGGGCCGAAAATCGAATGATTGTTCGATCATCGGACGAAAAGTGTCGTCCGATGATCGCAAGGTGTATGGGCAGCTTTATAGGGATAGGACACACATATCAGGCCTGAAAAACCATCAGTGACATGTTCACTAGGGCGACAAATAACCAATGATCCACTGTGTATTCTCCTGATAAATATATCATGTGCGTCAGAAATAGGAAAATCTCTAATTGCTACATTTCGCAGAAATGTCATAAGTTGTGTGACATATAATTATTATGATTGCATATACATTGCCTGGCCAAAAAAAGAAGTCACCACCTGGATTCAGCTAAGCAATAGTTCAGAGTCTTCCATTGGATAATTAGTCTAGGTTCAGCAATGTTATGTCCCCGAAAAACGAGGTCAGCTGCCTACCCGATTATACTGAATTTTTCCATTAATGGTTTTTTTTTTCCCATGATGGCTAGGGATGCACCGATATATCGGCCGAAAATGGCACTTTTGGCATAATGCCGAAAGAGCCATGTTTCAGCCGATACATCGGCACATCCCTGGTTTCTTTTCTCCCCGCTGGGCGCTGTTCCAGCGGGGAGAAAAGAAAGTGACAGCCGGCCGCTGCAGGACAAGAGCGATGTGAGCGGCCGGCGTCTCTCCTCCCACACCGCTCAGCCGCCTATCACAGTCCGGCACAGCGGTGTGGGGGCGGAGACAGCACTGTCACAGGAGGCTGGGCTTTCCTCTCTACACCGCTCGATCAGCCTCCTGTGACAGCGTGTCAGAGAGAAAAGCAAGGTACACACACCCAGTGATCAGTGATCACCGAGTGTGTGTACATAACTGAGGATATGGTATGTTAACTATATCCTCAATTATAAATGAATGGGAGTGATCTACATCACCTCCATTCATTCATAATTGTGGTTATAGTAAACAATGTTCTCATGTTATCAATGAACAGGAACACTCAGAGGATTCCTGTTCATTGATAACAGGGCACACAGAAAAAGAGATTGAGGACTCTGTGTTCTCAATCTCTTTTTCTATTTTAAAAGGGAAATATCAGGGGTCTGTTTAGACCCCTAATATTTCCCCAAAGCCCCTAAAAGTAAAAAATATAAATATTTAATAAAACATGAATAAATAAAATATATATAAAAAAATTAAAAAGTTTATAAAAA